TGACTGCCATTGGGGATTTTGGCTGCTGCTGTGCCGTACCTGACTGTCATTGCTCCTGCGGTAGGTGGGTGGCAGCGGATGTTGTTGAAGAGGGTGTGCACACTAGCATTAGCCCTCTGTTGTCATGGCCAGGTAATTTCTATTTAAATGCCATGACTGGTAACAGTATTGAGAGAAACCTTCGCAGGCCTGCTGTTTAAGTGGAGTCCGCTGGTGGAATGCGAGGGTGTTAATCTAGGTCAGGGCGCCGGGGGGCAGCTGCTGTCGGGCTCCCCGAGTGGCTCCACACTTCACGACGAAGACGTTGTCTCCGTCTCCCGCAGACGGGGTGACGTTCTCCTTTCTCTCTGTCTCTGCACCCGGTGGAGATGCTGTACTAGAGAGGACCTGAAATTAAACTCCACACAGGGCGAGGTGGGGAAAGTAGACCTAAAACGCACAGTTTGGGTGCTTTGAACAAGGCACTGTTTTTGAGTGGATAAATTTACCTGCTCACCAACCCTCACAACAGCCATTTCTCCAAAAGGCAAGAAGACGGCGGTGTTTGGCGAGGCTTTGCCTGGACAGCCTCTCTCTTGGCACTGGTGGCTGCGTGATTGGGTACTGCTGAGGTGTCTGCTCTCTTGGGCTTGTGCACGTGCTGCAGTTCCTTCTCTCACCACTGCCCCCTGCCCCCCCCCCCAGCCGTGGCCCAGTGTGTGATTCTGGTTCTGCTTCCGGCCGTTGCAGAGAGGGGGAAGACGCTGATCCAGAAGAAGCCGACCATGTACCCGGCCTGGAAGTCCAGCTTCGACGCCCACATCTACGAGGGGCGGGTCATCCAGATCGTGCTCATGAAGACGGCGGAGGAGCCCATCTCCGAGGTGACGGTGGGCGTGTCCGTCCTCGCCGAGCGCTGCAAGAAGGGAAATGGACGGGCGGAGTTCTGGGTAAGGGGGCGGGGTTCGGGGCCAGGGGGCGGGGTTGTGGGCAAGGGGGCGGGGTTCTGGGCTAGGAGGTGGGGTTTGGGTTCTCCATCACTCTCTCTGCCAGGTTCCGTCTTTCGTACTGTGATCTGTACCCTCTGTTCCTCTCTCCATCTTTGTCCTTTTTGGCTCCCTGTTCCCCCCCCCGGACACACCTGCCCGAGACGCTTGCGGCCACTCCACCCAGGATACTGGCGTGTGCTTACTGGCGTCTGCTCTGTCTCCTCCCCAGGTGGACCTGCAGCCCACCGGCAAGGTGATGATGGCCGTGCAGTTCTTCCTGGAGGACGCGGACACAGGTGAGAGAGGAGCAGCCAGGGATGTTATTTCAAAGCCCCCAAATGAATCCCTTCCTCAAACTGCCCCCACCCTGGAGCCCCGTGACACGAGCGAGACACGGAGCGAAACCGACAAACCACAGGACACGCGTGCTGGAAGAATGCGCTCGCCTCGGTGCACGTACTGTTGAAAGGGAGGTCATTCCTTCGTTGGGTTGTGAGCTCGGAGGCTTCAGTGAGGCCCCTGGAGAGGCTGGATGTGTTCGAGCAGATGTGGGGGGGATTCTGACAGCCTCCCGAGGTTCCGCGAGGCGCCGCGGAGAGAGCCGGCCTGTTCCAGATCCCCTTCCTGCTGTGGGACCGGCTCGCGTTCAGACCGGTTTCCGCAGCTTTTCTCCATGTGGGCAGATTGCTTCCTGAAGGCGCCGAGCAGGTGGGAAAGCAGGAATTGCAAGGAGTGAAAACGACACCCGTTTTTCCCTCCGGGTGTTTTAAAAGATGGGTTGGAGGCCCAGATAACTGGCGGAGTTTTGTGTGTGTGGGGGGGGGGGGCGTTTTGTGGGAGCTGCTGGCGGTGAGACAGGAAACCTGCCCCCAGCCCGTGCGATCGGGGCGCTGCCGTGAGACGCACTGGGGGGTGTGCGCTGGCACGAGCGCTCAGTGGAGGCCAGAGCGCGTGAACCCGGGTCCGGTAACCTGGCACGACTCGGGGGCACAGGGCCGCAGTGGTTACAGACCAGCCACCGCAGGGGGGGTGGAGACCACAGAGGGACTGGGAAAGGGGTTACCCAGGCGACGGACCGACGGGGTTCGTGATGCGAGAGCTGGAGGGAGCTGAGGGAGAGGGAGGGGTTCCCTGGAGCCCCAGGGCAGAGCAGGCTTCTGAATGAGCCCCTCTGGGCGCTGCCCAGTCCGCAGGCCGGGGCCTCCCCGAATTCTGCTTTTCTAGATCTGGGTGTTTTGGGGGTGGGACTGGGGGGGGGGGAAGATATCCGCTGGATCCGACGATTTCATTGGTGACGTTCCCTGGAAGTATTCCCACCTGCTTGGCGTGTTTTGAGAAACATTCGGAGGGGAAGCTGAGAGAATGTGAATGACCTCTGGGTGACCCCTCCCTCTCACCCGCCCATCTCTCTCAGATTCACTTCATTAATGGGATCAGTGAATCACCGCATCGCTGAAGCATAAAGCAAACAACAGGAAATAATTACTGTTCTTTAAACGGCTGCAGCTCAGAAACTTAACTCCCTTTCACTTTCTCTCACTCTTTCTGTCTCTCCGACAGGCTTTATTGGCGTGACCTATCGATCACACCGCAGCCAGAGCAGTCACAGTTAGCAAAGCATCCGCAGCCGTTCAGTTAGAACAGTAACGTTATTATTTTAGTTCGACAAGCCTGACCGGGCGATCGGCGCCGTCCGCGCCCGTACCTGACTGCGCTGACAGGACAGGGACTGACCTGCTGACTGGCGCCTGCTGCATCGTATGGGCTGAGAGAAAACCGTGTGACCCTCTCCCCCCCCCGCAGAGAGCAAGCAGTCCATCAAGGAGGAGGAGGATGGGGCGCTGACGCTGAACCGCCGCCGCGGCGCCATCAAGCAGGCCAAGGTCCACTTCATCAAGAACCACGAGTTCATCGCCACCTTCTTCCGGCAGCCCACCTTCTGCTCCGTCTGCCGCGAGTTCGTCTGGTAAGAGCGACCCCGCAGGGGTCCCTCTGAGCCCCCACCCCACACTGGGACCCCTTCTCTTCCTCGGGCTGCACACGGCACCGTCCTGGGGCCAGTGGGGCGCGCTGGGAAGGAACCCCGCTGTCTTGTGGCAGCTGGAGGGGCTCGGGGGTGTCCAGGCGGCCGGGGGGGCTGGCTCGCTGGGGGCTTGTGTGCTGGTCTGGTGTCGCCGCCGCCTGGGGACGATCTAACTGTCCAGCATTCGCCGCTGAAGGAGAGGTGGTTAATGTGACGAGAGGCCGCCCCTCCGGAGAGCCGACTGGGCCTCGCGATGACGTGACGCTGCGCCTTCCTGGGGGGGGGGTCCTCTCTGTGTGCAGGGGGAAGTTGCTTCAGAGTCCAGCAGCGCTGAGAGGCCCCAGGCAGCTGCTGGCTGTGCGCCTCTGTGTGTGCATGTGGGTGTGTGCGTGTCTGGGCTTCTGTGTGCTGGTGCATCCACACGTGTGTGCGTGTGTGTGCATGCGTGTCTGTGTGTGCATGTGGGTGTGTG